AGGAAGGGAGGGAGGAAGGAAGGAAGGAAGGAAGGAAGGAAGGAAGGAAGGAAGGAAGGGGCAGCGCCAGGGCCCGTTCGTGATTTACCTGGGGACCTTGTTCCGTGGAGGGGTCGAAAGGGCTGCCCACCACCCTCCGCTTGGCCCGCTCGACGCTCCGCCGGACGAACTCCTCGTAGATGGGCTCCTCCACGTAGATCCGCGAGCCGGCCGTGCAGCACTGGCCTTGGTTGAAGAAGACGCCCTGGTGGGCCTGCTCCACCGCGTAGTCCACTGCGGAAGCAAGAGGTGGGCTTTAGCCACCGCCGCGGATCTCGCACTCGTGCCAAGCCCAGAGTGGCAAAGAACGCCCAGCTCCCTCAAAACAGGCTCTCCCCCCCCCCGCCATGGCCCTGCCTGAACCTCGCTGGGGGGCCGGGGAGGCTTCACAAGATCAAAACAGAAACAGATTGGGATTTGGGCTTGTCGCCCATTCTAGGGGTGTGTGTGATTCATTCTGTTTTACGTCGGGATTCCCGAAAGAGACGGGAGATCAAAAGAAGAAGAAGAAGAAGAAAAGGGGGAAAAAGCCGAAGGGCCCGAGGAAGGTTGTCAGAAACCCTGAGACTTCTTCTTGCCGCGGGAGGTCATTCCTCTTTGGATGATTATTTGTTACGACAATAACGGAGTCATTCGTATGTTTGTCTGCATCACCCAGGCTGCCTATGATCACAAAACCACAACCACCCACGCAGAACGCAGCCTGCAGTACGAACGGAAAGACGGTAGCCGAGAAAGGAACAGCTTTTGTGCGAATATCGGCACAGGAGGACCAAAGGGAGGTGTTGTTTTTGTTCCCAAAGCTGGGGTTCCAGTCCCACTTGGAGCAGAGCTGGGATTGAAAAGACCTGGGCCTTCATTACTCTCCGCCCGGGAGCATCTCTTTTCCTGCAGTTAAGCATGTCTGCTCCATGTTGGGGGGAGTGGGGGCGAGGGGGCCCTCCCATAATTCTACCCACCCCTCCCTCAGTCCATTGCCTTGAGTCCAATGGTGGCAGAAAGGCGGATGCTTCGGCCACCCTCCACCCCCATGACTAACGGAGGAACCCCTCGGGAAACCATAAGGCCAAAGGGCGTTGAGGAAAGACGGTGGGGGGGGGCACTTACAATCTGCGTCTGCAAATATAATGTTGGGGCTCTTCCCCCCGAGTTCCAGGGTCACCCTCTTCAAGTTGCTCCTTCCGGCGGCTTCTTGGACCAGCTTCCCAACCTGGAGGGAGAAAGGAGAAAAGCCTCTGAAGGCGCCCAGCAAAGCATCGCCCCGTTTGCAGGGAGAACCGGATCTAGTGGGGAGCAGTGGGGTGCAGCTTGATCAAGGAACTGCTGAGGAGGGGGTGCGTGTCCCCAGATCGCTGTGCCCCACGGACCACAGAGGGGCAGGCAAAGATGCCCCAGGGGGGCAGCTGTGGCAGCGGCGGTCACCGGGGTGGCACCTCAACAAGGATGTAAAGCTGCTTTTGGTTTTGTCCAGGACCTGCCAGGATGCAACCACGACTGCCTGCTACTCTTTTGGGGTACACTCCACCGCCCACTTACCAACTCTTGTTTTAACCTTGTAGCACCTCCTAGCTGCTTCTTTAGCCACGGACCGGTCAAGGGAAACGCAGCCAAAGCTGACCACCCTCAAGGCTCAAAGCTCAAGGGGCAAAAAGGCTTCCAACCAGAAAACTGACAGACAGACAGAGGAACGACGGAAGGCAAGCTGTTATCGGAAAGAAGCCAGCCCGAGGTTTTCCCAAAGGACAGGGTTCCAGGGGGTGGACGCCAAGGCAGAGAGAGAAGGAGCAGACCCCACCCGGTCCTCTGTTCCTGACACGACAGACCATCCGTCATAAGCAGAAGAGATTCCTTAAGTGCAAAAGACATCTGATGGTTACAACGGATGCTTTTCACACTTCCTGCCATTTGCAAAGGAGGGTAGCTAGTTTTTGCAACTGGGAAGCAGGTGAGAGTCTGATCACGCCGTTGCAAAAGTCTGCCCGGGCCAGGTCTCTGGAAGACGGCAGGTGCTCGGCTTCTAACGACAGGCTCGCGCGTATAAAGGGGCTGCTTGAACCCTGGGCCACAGAGCAGCCCTGAGGAAGAAGCCGCGCAGGCCCAAGCCTCTCCAGAAGGAGCACCCGGAGCCCAGGAGTCCACCTTGGAGAAACGCGGACGGCACCCTCGGCCGGTGTCGCGGTCACTCATTAAGAAACTTTTTTAAAAAATCTGTGAACCGACAAGATGAGAAAAGCTTCGCGGAGAGAAAAGGCAGCTGGAACCATTTATTACGCGAAAGGGTTCTTTGCCACTCGCCCTCTGGAACAGATTACAAAGCGAGGGGCTCTCTCTCCGCTGGCTGGACTGCCTCTGCCTCCTTCTCATCCACCCCCTTGGCCTTTTCAATGAACGCCCCACGGACAGCTGGCGCAACCACGCAAGGGAAGGCCGGGGGGGGGGAAGACGTCTCCCCCACAGATACAGAAGAGAGAGAGAGAGAGAGACCACGTCACCTGGTCGCCCCTGATGAGAACAATCTGTTATGCTCACGAAGAAGAAATAAGGCCAGACAAAGCTCCCTGTGAAGTCGGAGCAGCAATTGAAAAGCTTTGATTTATGCCTGCTTCTCGCAGCCAGCCAGCACAGAGATCTAGATGTGCTCTCCCGCTCTCTCTCTCGTCTTGCTACGATGCTGTCATTGCAGGCATGAGCAGGAAGAAGACAGGGTGGCCTCTTTGCAACCAGAAGCCGAGCTGTCTTAAGAAATAAAGGGCATCCAATGATCCTCGGATGGTACTTTGTAGCTTTACAAGTTGCAGATTAGCTTGGTTTTTTTATTTGGTATTTAATCACCAGGTGGTAAAAGCTGGGCTTTGCGTTGGCCTATGGTCCGTGCAAACAGGGCAGCTGTGAAGAATGTGTCTCTGGAACCATCAGGAGGAGTTGTCACCTTCTGGATGCAAAGTTGCCCATCTTATGTCTGTTTCTGTCCCAGATGGAGAAAGAATAGAGGAGATGGGCGAGTGGGAGGGGGGGATGGTTTCACATCTGCCTAAAGGGAAGGGCAGCTGCAAGAGTTTTTTGGGAGGTGACCTTAAATATAGGCCCTTCCCTGACCCCCCCCCCCCCAATCTGGAGAGAGGAGAGGAGAGGAGAGCTGGGCATCTCTCCCAGGGAAGGCTGCGGTGGTGGCGAGGCAGAGAAAAGGCGGGCAGGGCAGCCGGTGGTGGCTCTGGCGGTTGGCCTGGCTTGCCCTGGCCTGGCCTCCCTCTGGGGCTTGGATGGCCTTGCCCAGAATCTTGTCGGCCAGCCCTGAGCTCCTGTTTTGATGGAGGGAGGAGGCAAAAGGGAGAGACCCTCACACAAGCTCCTCAGCCCGGCTGGTCCCTCTGGCTTTTTCTTTTTTTTAAAATTGTTTCAGGGTTTGGCTAAGGGCTCTTTGGGACCTTTTCCTCTTCTTTATCTCTCTGGCCAGCCAGCGTTCCTTTTCATCTCCTTGGACTGAAAGGGCATTTCGTGGTGGGCTGGGTGGGTTCCCTTGGATCAAACTTCAATTGCTCCGGGGTGTGTGTGTGTGTGTGTGTGTGTGAGTCTGCGGGGTCTGCCCGGAGGTGGCCAAGGAGCTCGAGAGAGACACCGACCCCCTCTGTTCTCTGGAAGTGACAGAACCGGGAAGGCAGAGCCACCCAGGAGGAGACAGCTGGGAGCAAAGGGGGGGGGGTTGGGAAAAAGTCCTCCCCCCGCCCCCCCCCTCCACAGCCAGGCTCCACTCCTTGCTGGGCACCTGGCAGGAGGGCTGTGGGAGCCCACGGGGCCTAGAGGGTGAGCTCGGCTTCCCAGCTTCCAGCCAGCATCACCCCCTGCCCTTCGTCTCCTTCGCGCCTTTGGCCCCAGAGTCCTGCTCTTCCCCCCTTCCCATGAACCCCTGGGACACTCCTTCTGCGGAGCTGCT